TCACTTCTAAAAGATGTCTAAAAAAATTGTATGTATGTTTAATCATAGTATATATTAGTTCGACGGATTTGTGACCTAATTAGTACGGTTTGTCGTTGTTGCTGTTGTCATCTCTCGTAGCTTAGTGGTCAAAGCATTGGCGCGTAAAGCCAAAGAGCCCGGGTTCGATTCCCGGCGGGGGTGTGACAACAGCAACAAATTTTTCCTCATTAATTTGAGGAAGTGTGTAGTGGGCAAAAAAGAATTCAAGAAATGAATTTTCAGAATAATATTTCATATTAAACTAACTCACTTCTAAAAGATGTCTAAAAAATTGTATGTATGTTTAATAATATTAGATAATTTTTTATGATAACTATCGTATTATCCCATACTTTACACGGGAGACATCAACGGTGGGTCAAGAGAGTAACCTCAAATGTTCTGTTCGTTTAATAATCGCAGTAAAACTTCCGCCTTCAGCTACTAAATCATCATTTTAATAAAACAATATTCTTATTTGAGATTGTATTTAACATACCGGTAGGTTTTTGGCAATAATTTCAAGCGTGTACGTTATGCGTTTTTAAAGACACAACTCCAAACAATAGCTGTGCATTTAATAAGATCCCCGTTCACTTTTTTGTTGGCCTCTGTTTTTGAAGAGTGTCAAATATGCGAGTTATTTGAACATAAAAACAGGAAAAAGGCTAAATTGGTAAGAGCAATCAAAGAAGCCGCGCGTTATTATGGTGCGTCACGTCGAATATTTCTGAAGTTTGTACGTACACGTAAGTACGCATGAGTATGACGGTAGGTAGGCACTTACAAACAATTGTAGACGTGTAGGTAGGTAGGTTGGTATGATAAGAATTCCATCGTCAAGTCATACGAATACGAAGCACGGATTGAGAATTAATTAGTTAAGGACGTGTTATTGAACGACAACATTATCGAAACTTGTATCAATGTGTTTAAGCGATTGGATTAAGATATCCCCAGAGCACTTTACTAATATTTATTGTTCTCGGTACATACTGTCAACGCGAAACAATATTAACTATTAATTTATTCATGATTTAAATCGATTATCATTAAAATATTCTGTAGTTATTTTTAATATATTCTAAATTTTCAGTACGTTAAACTTGCTTAATTACTATCGATGTGTTCGTTGACTTTCCAGGTAATTTAAGAAAGAAAAATAAGGTGGCATGCTCTCTGCTAGGCTGCGAGAAGTACAAAGCAGGATACTCGCATTTTTTCACGAAATTGTTTTTCGAAGATAATGCAACAGCTTGTTAAAGATATTGTAGGACAGAGGTGGTGTTCGTTGTGGCGGTATCGCGCCTGTTACTAGTTTAGTGAAATCACTTCGAAGAATCCCGAGATAAAAATGTTCAGCTCTCAAAGTCTCTGAAAGCGAGACTCGAGTCTCCGTCTCTCATCGAGTTTCTCTGGTGTCGCTGAGAGAGAGAGACTGTTGAGAGACTGCCAAAAAAACTGTTTAGCGTCTCTGAACGAGAGACTGGAGTCGTTCATAGAGAGATCCTCATTTCGTATCCAGCCTCTGAACGAGAGACTCGAATCTCTCAATAAGTGGTGTTTCAATAGACGTGGTTAAAATTTCAACATATTTCAGAGATCCCAGTCTTTCTACGAGAGACTCGAATCTCTTAATTAACAATTTTATTGTTCGAGTCTCTCATACAGAGACTGTAAGAGATCCTTACCTAGGCAATAACTGAGAGACTGTGAGAGACGCTCTCAGAGACGCTGAAAGACTCTGAGAGACTGAAAATTTTTGTCTAGGAATGGTAATCGTCTAGAATTGGGGCTCCAGACCAAAATCGCTCCAAAAATTTTTTCATCGATTTCCGGTCATTCTACATATTATATATTAGAAGGTAGGGGAGAGTTTTTTATGACTTCGTACATAAACAAAATTTTTGAATGATAATTTTTCAAAATTGCTCCAATTGTGGATAATTACCTGCATTGGTGACGTCATTATTTGGTTAAGTAGATTTATGACAGATTGGGGTTTATTTAATGCCACTGCCCGCCGGAGGCTGATTGATATGTTAGAGTATTTTATTGACAGAAAGCATTAGTTTTATTGAACACTGAACCCTTAGAAATGATCAGAAATCGATGAAAAAAATTTTGGAGGGATTTTCGTCTGGAGCCCCAGTTCTAAGAATTGTATGAAATTTCGATATTATATAAAAGTAATGCTTTCTATGAATAAAATAGATAAACTCCAATCTGTTATAAATTTCCCTAATCAAACAATGACGTCACCAATGCAGGTAATTATTCACAATTTTGAAAAATTCAAAAAAAGTTTTTTTTATTTCATCATCATCATCATAAGGTCGTCAGTCCTAAGACTAGTTGAGTACGCAACTCCACTCTTTCCTATCCTGCTCTAATCTTCGCATTTCCCTAATGATACAGCAACCCATACCTGTCTGCCTCATCTTCTAATATCTAATTCTATTATGTAGAATAACGGGAATTCGATGAACAAATTTTTGGAGCGATTTTGATCTGGAGCCCCAATTCTGGACAATTATCTGTAAAATAAACTGTAGATTTTTTTGTATTTTATTTACACATATATACAAAGTCGGTTAATCAATATGTTAAATAATCACAAAGAATAACTTGTTTTTGGATGAATCGGTTAGGGTTTTTAAATTGATTTTGATCTCAATTGAGAATTGTATCTTTTTTTTATGTTTTCGTGGAAGAGGGGAAATCTTCAAAAGACACCCAGCCGTCCGTAGGACTGGGTAGTGTCGGATTCCCGAGGAAGAAGTCCTCGGACTTACCGACTAAAACCCCTGTACGTTAGGCCGCTCTAGGACCAACTAGGGTCCTCTTCAGCCGTGTTTAGAATCTTAAAAGTACACACATTTATAATTTACTCCAACCCCCACAATAATGATGGAAAAAGTAGAAGTGGCTGATACCTGAAAGTACATCTGGTTCTGAAGTTACCAATTCAGGTACTAGCTCTCCGAAAAATTTGAAGTCTAGGAAAACCAAATAATGAAAATTAGTCTAGCTGGTCGTAAGAATTTGCATTTACGACTAGGAAACAACATCTTTTTACAAAATATACAGATGGGACATATTTCCATATTGTCGGAGATGAATAAAGCAATAAAATCTAAGAATTAAACTAAAGATAAACATAAACTAGAAGATGTCTTTGTAACATTGAACAGGTGGTGAACCTTTCTACCATTAGAGGTCACATTTAAATTAGACAGTAATAATAATATGTATACTATTAATTAATACAAGGGCTCTTTCATTCATTTTTGTTTTGTTTGAGATTTGTTTCTCTTTTGTTTCAGATATGAAGTATAGTTGAGCAACGATGGCCGCTACAGATGCCCAAATAACAGTAGCAGCCGCACGATGGGCAGACGAAGGGAGCTACTTGCACGAGTTCGTATCGAAACATCGGTTACCAGCGGTAGTGAAAATAATAAAGGGTCAGTATGGTAGTCTCGGCGTGCCGACGTTACCCAGTCCGGGCCTGCAATCGACCGCACTTCTCGTGTCGGCCGGTAAAAGACAAAAGATCGTGGCGCAGGCTGTGAAATTCAAAGAAGGGCGCAAAATTGTTTATATCGGTCCGCGACTGGCCATTCCGGACACGTACGCAGGATTTTTCGAGATATTGAGCGAGGAAGGTAGGTCGGTGCGATGTATAGAGAGCGTTGCGGAATTGGTGCGTCGACGACCGGAAGAAGGTTGTTTGGTGCGCGAAACGATACGCGGCGTCCAGGCGAAAGTAGACGTCGATGGTACTGTAACACCAGAAGGTGCTAGAACGTTACCACCGGGAGAAATACTAGTCCCGTCGGGCGAGGTGAGCCTGACCGGTTCGAAGGGCCGCTACTTGAAGTGCCTCGATTCTAAAGGTGATACTATCCTATTGGGCTTCGAGCAGCGAGGGAAGTTCTCCGCCCTCGCTCGCGAAGACAACATCAGCGGCGTGCATACCGCAAAGACACTGTTAAGTAAGCGTCTTCCACTGACTGTTAGATTAGTTCACGGTACCGCGCCGAGAGGATTGAAAAGTTCCAGTCATTTTGTGCCAGAATTAAGATTATTGTCGACGTTCGAGGAGGAGCACGTATTCGCATTGCCTTTACAAAAGGAAGCGAATACCGTGACGGCCCTACCATTAGCTGCACCTCTTAAACTGTTGAGAACTCGTAACGACGATCATTTACGAAACATGTCCGAATTCGTCAGGCTGGTCGAAAAATGCACAAAACTGATGGGCGACGTGGTCGATAGGATACAGGTGTTGGACGGGAAAATAGGCGATCCGAAAAAACATCACGCGACCAAAAACGGTTATTTGTTGCGGAGAAGCGCTTCTTCCGACTCGGCGAACCATCGAACGAAATCGTCCCATCATCGCAAAGTCGAAAACAGAATTCCATTGCCCGACTATGACGAAATCGATCAGATTTACGACTACGTGCGTGGTTTCGCGCCGCTACCCAAAAGCATACGATCGACATTTTCGGAACCGTCTCCAACTATCCATCATACTGCTGCGCCCGCATTTCCCGAACCGACGAAACCGGAGCCGCCGCCCATCGAAACGATTCCAACCAAAAAACTACAAGCCGAAAAGCGAAATCGCAAAACTCCTTCGACGATCCGCGAGGAACCGAAAAAAGTTTACGTACATGCCGAAAAAACGCCCCCTGGGCTTCCGAAGCTCTATATCAAAAACGGAAATTCCCAGCGAAGTCGTTTGCTAAGACAAAAGAGTTCGTCGCCCATCAAAGAAACCCCTCCCAGTCCGTTATCTAAGTCCGGTTCACCTTTATTTAATATTCGGTACAAGTCGCTTACCAATCTTCAACAAGCCATGGAATTGGACGGGACTTTGGATTCCAGTCATTCCGGAGGACGCACTTCCGGCGACTCCGGTGGCGGCGTAAAACAACCGGAAAAAAGGTCCAGGAAATTGTCCCGACCTCGCAGTTTAACGAATTTAGTATGGGAGATTAGAGAACATCCCGAGATCACTATAATCGAGAAAACCAAAAAGTTTGATCATTCTCCTGCGGCAATTATTCATAAAAAGCATTCGAAATGCTCAGTGAGTGGCCATAGCCAGCGGCGCGGCATGTTGTACTTATAAAAATTTCTATTAATAACAATAATGAATTTATATAGATATTATATAATAATACATACATAAAATATACAACTAATTTTGCGTATAAATGTTCGTAAAAAGATATATATCGTATCGTACATAACAAATATTACGTAGTCAACTCCAGCACACACGGACAGCTATGATCGGTCGTGTAATGCTTGCGCTACTGCATGTGATTTTTCGTTTAGTTCTTTAGGAATCGATTAGGCTTTTATACTTTTTACAAGATTGTGATGATTCGTATTAAGTTTTGTAATTTTTATCTTTAAGTGATATCTTCTTATATTATAGGTTTATGATCTCTTGTTGATACGTGTTAAGTACAACCAGTGGCTTAGCGTGAATCTCTGCCTCCCGGGGCGAAGCCTAAATGTGCCGCCCTTCCTATTTTCACTATCATGTACTGTAAGATCTTTTATTTAATTTAGTCGCATTTTTAGTGAAAAGATGGACTTACAGAAAAACTTTTATTTTTAATTTAGTCTTTGAGGAGATAAGTAGTGCTTATTATTGGCGTAAATTGAAAATGCATGAACGTATTTACAAATAGCATTCCTTACAAACATATACAATTGACTATTATTGATTGAAATCGAAGAATTTCATTTTCAGTCCGTACAATATCAAACAAGGGTGCAATTAGTGTACTGTGAAATCCATACGGCCAACTTCCCAGTTAAAGTAATAATTTAATATTTTTCACGAAATTCTTACATTAAGTTTTTCCTTTTTGTTTAAACAGACAAGCGAATGCAATGATTTTTCTCATACTACTCTCCATACTTCATCTCCAAATTATCTACAATGGTATTGTGACTTCCAAATTACAAACTATTGGAAAACTAGTATTTTGACTTTTTGGATCTATTACAAAAAACGTATCTGTGACTAGGAAGTTAATAAATTGTAGCAGTTGCTCTATCAGGACCACCGTGCGAGTAAGGGGGGGGGGGGTATTACGTACACATCAAAGAAAGATGGTGTTTGCTCTGTTTATTTTTCATGATAATGAGGACGGGAATCTGTTTGGTGATTACGTTAGTAATATTTATCTATTTATTTTTCTGATTTTTTGTAAAATTAAAGAACCTTACTTGTCTATGTCCGAAAGTAAAGCGCATGTTCAGGGATTCCCCAAAATAATTTTTAATGCTCCCTCGCTCTTATGCGTTAAAGTTTGAGAAAATATGCAGGTACCGATGATTACGTAAGTATAAGGGGAAACCAAGACAGTACTATCTTGCTACATGGTACAAATCGTTAAACAATTGGTACAAATTCCAAGAAATTGCTACATCTGACATTACTGCGAGGCGGACCTGATTCTATCTAATACCGACAAAAACATTTTTTCACTATGGTCCCCTTTGCCCCCGTCCCCCCACGCTACGCCACTGGATGCGACAACAAATTGGCATTTGCATTTCGTCAATCGTGTTTTCGAAAAACGATTATATGACATCTTCTTTAACGTAAACAGGTACTGCTTTAAAACTTTCGCTTAATCAAAAACATATTCTGATAAATGCATAGATACTAAAAATTAAATAAAAAGGTATGTAAAACTATTAAAGGTTAGCAAAACGAAGAAAATGACAATTACAAATGCAAAATAAAGTAGGTTTCTAACTACAAATTTGTAAAAGTGATAACAAAAAATTTGAGCAGTTTTCTATTGCCTTTAAATTTATTTAGGTATTTCTGACGAAAAAAGGGAAATAAGTTTGAAACTTTTGTATGTCTATGACTTTGCCTGTGACGTAGTAGCTCCAGCACGGATAATGCGCTTTTAACGAGGCATAATTGCTATATACAATTAGTGGTATTTAATGAATATTAAGCTATTTGTAGCTTTTATAAGGATAAGGATCTCTCTTTGCATTTTTCACATTCAAAAATATTCTCTATAGCTTACAACAAACAATAAATATTCTGAAATGAAGAACAAGACGATCATTGGACTTTATTTGTCTGAAAAATTTTAACGTTCCTTGACGTATATCCCATTTTGTTATTTTCCTTGAGTATTTTAAGAGTATCAAGTTGATACATACAACAAGTAACGTAAACATTCAAGCGAATTTGGGAAAAACAATTTTCCGACAGACATTTTTAATTTTGCAAGGAAAATTCTCGATTGAATTTGTACATTTCCTAAGTATCTATTTATATAAATATGTAGGTACATATAATATTAAAATATATTGCAGGATGATCATCTAAAAGGATTGGGATAATTTTTAATATTTACTTATTATATTTTATCTGTTTTATCCAGACTAGAATTGACAGGGAAGCGTCGTATGAACCCCATGAAGCTGTCCTATAAGGCGTACAAAGGACACGTGTATAATGCCTTTTGATGATGTTATCTGTTTAAACAAAAATTCCGACGTTTGTCTAGTAGAACCCCCATAAAGCATATGCTGAAATTGTCGATTTCTTTGTAAGCTTATATATTTGGTAGGTTCGATTGATAAGTCCCTATTAAGAACTGATAATATATACCTGACTTCAGCATCTCTAATATCTCTATTGGCATGTCTTTCATTTGCCACAGGAAGCCCCTGCTCATGTGCTCATCAATTTTAGTCAGATTTATCAATCTCATCCTGGCAATCAACTGACCTTGTGGCTTAAAATAAGGACATACCAACTAGGGTTGTCACCCGTACTTTATTATAAAGTATTGTACTCTATTTCGACTGTGCGTACGTTATACTTTACAAGACACATAAAGTACGCAAAAATACTTTATTTAAGGCCTTAAGTAAACATCGTAATTTTGTAAGCGATTATTCGAAATTCAGAGTACCTTTACATCAATATTGCACAGAAAAATGATTTCCCAAATCTGTCACTTTTGCTGTCCGTTCCGGCCACTTCAGCATTTACAGAAAGAGTATTCTCTGTGGCGGGACGACAGGAATAAAGCTTCATTAAAACTAATTAAAAATGAACTTTTAGTTTACTTAAATCTTTGTTTGCCGTGTTTAGAGGCTATTAATGTATTTAAGAGCGACAGCAATTTGTTACTGGCTGCTAGGTGTAACAAAAAATATGTTTTTAAAAACAAAAAATAAAATACTTTATTTTTATGC